AAAAAAAAAAAAAAAAGAAGTTAATAGGATTATTTTTTAGTGCTTCTTATGGGCAACACTGGACTGGGTGCTGTGAGAAAATTTTTCGGAAATCCATCTGTTGTCTCAGGGATTATAGAACTAGAAAATGATGAATGATTTGTTTTCTTTTAACATGTCTCTGTTGTCTTAGGAGATGTTTAGTTGTTAAGCAGAACAAGAATATCTACCTCAGTATAGGAAAAAAAGGTGCTTCATAGTCTTGTAAATATTGTATATTGTTTATAAATGCTCAATAAATAAACACTTTGCTACACTATATTGTTACCTAGCTATCTTATTTTAATGAAACTACATAAATCAAAGTAAAATGTGTCTAAGTTGTTTCCATTTTTTTAACTTAATTATGGGATATCAAAAAAAAAAAAAGAAGGCCTTGATTCCTCATTTCAGTCTCTTTATTCAGTTTCAGTTTCCCCAAAATACACAGCACTGCTAAACTTTTTTTTTTTGGAGACAGTGTCCTGCTCTGTCGCCCAGGCTAGAGTGCAGTGGCGTCATCCGAGCAACCTCAAACTCCTGGGTTCAAGCAATCCTCCTGCCTCAGCCTCCAGAGTAGCTGGAACTACAGGGTGTTGTCACCACCCCTGGCTAATTTTCCTATTTTTTGTAGAGATGGGGTCTTACTATGTTGTTCTGGCTGGTCTCAAGCTCTTGGCCTCAAGTGATCCTCCTGCCTCAGCCTCCCAAAGTGCTAGGATTACTGGTGTGAACCACCAGGCCGGCCTTATTTTTTTTAAAAAACAACAATATGTTTTCAGTGAGTGTGGGGGGGTGATACCACTATAAAAAGTACTTGTATTTTAATAAAACTTCCATAGTAATATTTTTGAGTGTTTTCTGTGCATGATTATTAAACAGAAACAGGAAGATTTGTTATACCAACTCTTCCCTAGTTTCCAATTTTTTAAGATGTTTTTAATTAGTAAATTTTACATTTTAGATAGACAAGCACAAATTGATTCTTATTTTGGTTGTTGAGGAATGACAGATAATAACTTACAATTCCAGTTATGTATAGAGATGGTAAAATAAACCTAATCCATATTGTTAATTTTAATATTTAAAGTATTTGTAATTGTCATGAGATCTGGAATATTAGAATACTTAAAAGATTATTCTGGAGATTACAATTTAAAATGTAATAATTGCTGTATCTTATAATTTTGGGTTGAAAGAGTGAATAATACTGTAATATTTAAGAGAATGTGTCATCATACTTATGCATTTACTAGATACAGAAGAATTATACAAGCCCTCAAGAACATCCAGAACTCATACAAAGTAGAAGTAAGTCAACAAAAACCACAAAGGAATTACTAATTCTGGGGGCTCAGGGGAGGTTGTTCAAGAAAGGAAATATAACCCTAGTTCATATTTATAATATATAAACATTGAGTAACAATAATTATGATATAACTATATTGAAAGGGTAAGAGGAACAGGAAGAGTGTATGTAGCGGGCGTAGCATGAGACAGCTACACGACAGATCACCTTCCACGACAGACAACAGCTGGATAAAACTGTGAAATCAAGTAATAGCAGTATGAGGATGTTATTTAGAAAAAGGAAGTACATACCAGAAGAAACAACTAAAAGAGCTAAAAGTCGCTGCTTCTGGGGAGTTGGAATTATGAGTAGGAAAGAATAGACCTTTGTAAATATTTGTATCACTTTGATAAATATTAAATTACATGAAAGGTTTATTCTCTCCCCCTATGATTTTCATGTGACTCTAAAAGCGTAGAGTGAAAACAGCACTGATACCAGCAGCTTCTGTGTCAAGGGGAGGCTGTGCCAGTGGCTTTGGGTTTTCATGTTTTCAATATAAAACGTAGACATGAGTCTACACCAGCATTAGACTCAGCCACTTTGGAGAACAGTGGGCAAAGTATCTTTGGCAAACGTCATTATTTGCGGTTCCTATAGAGCATAGCTGCCACTTTTTAGTATTGGCAACAACAGAAGGTATCATTGAAGTAGGCCAGAGTGAGAGAGGAGGAAAGTGGCAGAACACACGGAAGACACTCCCTAAGGATTCCAGAAAGCTTGGGGGATATGTTTATGGGAGTCTCTGGCCAAAGCCAGAAAAGCTGATAAGCTATTGTAGAAGCAAAAATTGATGCTTTGCCCTGTGTCCAATATGACTAAGCACTTCATATACCACAGTCAGAAAAAAGAAAACACTTTGCATCCTGAAGTAAACAAAAACAGGCGTACTCTTCCTTTTCTAAACACTGCTATCTCTGAATCTTCCTTTGATATTACTGTTGAAATAGTCTACTTACCTTCCAGCCCCCCCGCTCATGTTATTTGGAAAATACACAACATTTTTACAATTTGCAAAAGATACAATGGTAAATTGCTAGAAAAAGTTCCTTATAGTTTTATACTACTTACTCAGTATCATGTTTAAGGCCAAAATCAGACAGGTCTTCATTTGCAGAAGTATATTTGCCATAACACTCATTCATCAAGGACTGAAAGGATGAGTAGACCTTGCATGTGTTGTTACGGACTTTTAGTTGACGGACTCTGGGGACTCCTAGAAGCATGTTCTCATAGTAGATGCGACTGCTGTTTTTCAAATTATATAGCTGCTGGTTATTGTACCATGAGTCCCAGTACAGACCTTCCAAAAAGGGTCCTTCCATAAACTTCATATAGAAAGACAGATATCATGGGGAAAATATTTTCATGTCAACAGAATCTACATTCATAACATTATGCATCAAAGATTTTGAGTTTGAAAAATTATTGACCAAGCCACCGTGAATATTAATGATGATGATGCTGCTGCTGATGGTTAAAACTTACCAAGCACTCATTATGTACTAGGCACTACTCTAAGCACTTTATGAGCATTAACTCATGTAATCCTATAACCCTTCTCCCCTTCTTTTATTTTTCTTTTTGAAATATTTTTTATAGAGATGGAGTCTTGCTATGTTGCCCAGGCTGGTCTTGAACTCCTGGGCTCAAGCGGTCCTTCTGCCTCAGCCTCCCAAAGTGCTGGGATTGTCGGCGTGAGCTACCATGCCTGGCACCTGCCTTCTTATGGGAGTATGTTGAAGATTGTCCTCCAATACACGAGTATCAGAGCTGGACATAGCCCCATGTCATGACTTCACCCCAAAGTTGTGTGTTCCCCTTTCCTTAACCCCCTCCCCAACTCTGGCCATGGTGACTGCTACTCCTGGCTCTGCCCCCTACTCATTCTGAGATTCCCAAGGCCAGCGTTCATTTTTTCTTTGCTCACTTTGTCTTCTTTGCTATTGGCCATGTACATGCCTCAGACAGCGCAATAAAAAAAGAGGCAGGGTGTGCTCTACATCTACCACGCGTTCATATTTCACCTGGACCAAACCACTGAGGTATGATCATTTAGCCCTCATCTTGCACTTGCCCTCTCACTCTCAGGAAATGGCCCTGTCTCCTTGATATGTTTCAAATTCCTAGCATGGCACTCACGACGTGACCTCTGTCCAATTCATAATTTGGCCTTTTCTATCTTATCTTCCATATGCCCACAATGCCAAACATAGCTCCACATGTAGAATTATTAATACATATAGCACGCATTGTACCTTCTTCCTAAAATTCCCTTCCCTGATCCATCCTTTAAAACGCAACTGAATTGTTACCACCTCTGGAAAGCCTTCCCTGTCTCATCCTTATGTA